TTTTTTTTTTTTTTTTTTTAACATTCCTTATATAGGAATAAATAAACATTTATTGCGAGTTATAAATCAAATACATTGATCAATATCATATTGCAAATTCTAGTTTATGAAAATTCTAGTTCATGAAAATCATAAATCTGGAGATTTTTATAAATGATTAAATCAATTTGCTTTTATCATAAATATTTTTTAAAATATTAATAAATGTTATTTGAGAATTAAATATTTTTATAGAATCAACTAAGCAAATAATAATAGAATATATGTTTTACTTTTTGGTGAGGGGGAACAAAAAACAACAAGAAAGAAAACTAAGAAACTACATCTAATAGAAGCCACTTGAGTACATATGGAGGAGGACTCATCCAATACTCAAAAACAGGGGAGGACAAGGCCCCCAGCTTAGCCAAGGCATCCGCACTGCAATTGCGGTCTCTATCAATCCAAAAGAAGTTCATCGACCAAGGTTTATCTACCAAGGAGAAAATATCAAGGAGATAAGAAGCATGAGAGTGTAGGTAAGCTTGATCTCTATGAAGAAGAGACTGCACGATATCCATGGAGTCAATCATACATTGAAAAATTTTAAATCCCATATGCCATGCGAACTTGAGACCTTCCAGAACGACCAATAACTCAGCTAAAGAAGGATCACCATGTGAACAATTGTCGGAGAAACCAGCTAACCAATGGCCATATACGTCCCAAATCAGACAAAGAAACTTAGATGCGGACAGTTCGGATTCGGTCGGAGCCGGAATTTATGCTCACGCCTAACATAAATACACAAAATTCAATATCTAACAACAGCAATTGGAGGGTCTTCAAGGTGCTTTAGGGACTTGTGAAGCAGCTTGGTTATCACCTGTAAATTTTAAAGAAAAATTAGATGAGTTTATAAGTGAAAAAACGACATACTAGAACTGAGGCAATGCATATTAAAGCATGAAAACAAAGTGATTTAAATATTCACTCTTAAATATACAAGCTCATAAGTGTTCATACAGAATTTAAAGGGTGGCCCATGGATTCTCATACATAAACTCTCAAGTGGAATACTTGATAATTTTCACATGCTTCCAAAATGTCCAATCCAAGATAGATATTTTTGAAACGATTATCCAAATCTGGCCTAATGAACTTTTCTAAATTCTTATTTAGGTTTCTATTCTAAAGGTTAGTTTCCATCTCCTAGCAGCTTGAACTTCTTTCCAATGACATCCATACTACATTTTTAGGCTTTGATTTTCTTGTTATTCGGTAAAATTGTGGAATATTGTTGTTAAGTTATAATGTGTCACAAAGACGTGAAACTCTCGAAACTAATCTCAAAATTCTTGATTAATTTATCGACTATTTTGGACTTAATTATCATACAAATATGAAATATGTATTTATATGATAATTCACACCCATGTTTAATTTATATTTATTTGGTTGAAAGACAATTTATAAATCATAGTTTTATGTCTTTATCAAATCAAGAATAGAAGAACGTCATAATTTTGATATCTAGTAAGATTCTATTAATGTATTTTATGAGCATTAAAAGTAGTTATATTTATTTACATGAGATAAATGATATTTTGTTTTTTTTTATTAATTTAATATTTTATAGTCACTGTTTTATCATGTGATAAATCTCCCCCCCCCACCTCCCAAATATTTTTTTCTGGTTCACCCTTGGTCTCCATGATAGTCGATTATTTATAGGAGTGCTCATAAGTCATAAGTCATAACCGTAACTATATAATGATCGTATAGTAGTTGGATTTTACAACCATAACTTTTTTTCACAATTGGTTTCAGTTTTCTAAAACCGATTTTGACTTTTACAAAATCAATTATATATCCAAAAAGGCAAAAACTAGTTCGAATATATAATTCATTAAAGCCTGAAACCAATTTTTTAAATTTAAACAAAAAAGGAATTTTAAAAAATTTAACCTGAGCTTTAGTCAAAGAAGCATCAGCCGAAACTGAGTTGAAGATGTTTCAAAGTTGAGTTAAAGATTGAGACCTAGCCCAAGATAACCAAAGATGCACTAAACCAGCTAACCAATGGCCATATACGTCCCAAATCAGACCACCAAAGCCCAAATGAGATTGATCAGAGAACCAACAACCATCAACATTCAAGCGAACAGTAGACGAGTCAAGAAAAAATAGGGTAGGTGTGAGTTGAAAATCGGAAGGAT